ATCACATCTGTTGGTTGTCCAAAGATATAAGACGTTCCACTATCGAGGTAGCCCAATCTCCCAGTAGTACTGAGTTGAGTATTGCCAACTCCCACGCTATCAAGAGAAAGTGCCCAATGATTTGGGCCGTTTTTGGCGACACTTGTATAACTTAAATCACCACTGTATCGTGAAGTATCCGGAGCACCGAAGTTGATTTCTCCAGTATTCGTACCATCCGAGGCACGGTTCAAGTCCATTCCAAATACATTGGCCTTGAGAGACTTCGAGCTAACAACGGTCTGTAAGAAATTGGGAACCGGACCAGTTTGTTGAGATAAGCCTAGAATGCCGGAGAATGGGAAAGAGTTGAACTGATCACTAGTTTTATTGGCGATTCCTAGAGTTAAAGGAAGACTCATGCCAGCAAAATTGATCGTGTCGGTGGCATATGTTCCGGTAACATGGCCGGATCCGTACGCAATATCCAAATCCAAATTGACCGCTTTATAAGTCGCAGAGTCTGCTGCACCGAAGGAAGCACGAGTCTTGCATGCACTAGAGGTACAATCGGGACCCATAACCCAACTTGTTCCAGCTCCTGTATCAAGCAACATCAACAGAGGATCATTCTTGCTCCCTAGTTCAACCTGAGCAAAATAAGAAAAGTCAGTTCCGGTCTGCAGGATTCCCGCGCTGTTCGTCTGTGAAGGAGTTGCCGCAGTCTGAATCGATAATGATGTATCGTCATATTTCACGAGATTGGATTCACGCTCTTCGACTTTAGTAGCTTTAAGTCCCATTCCAGGGTTATATTTGCGAATAAGTCGATCTGTCAGCTCGCGAATCTGAACATCTCTGGGTTTATTGGCCTTACAATAATGAGTTAGCAAAAGCAAATCAAATCGAAATAACTTCAACTTACAGATGGGAGCTTTTGGACAAGCTTGAGAACAGCATTGTTCTCACGACTTTTCCCGCTCCTCTTGGATGTATCTGGAAGGGACTTGTATGATTGGTGCCTCCATTCTGGGACAAAAGGGTAAAATGCCGTGGAAAATTGGAAGAGTGCAAATAATGCGAGCAAGACGAAGTTAAAGGACCACATGATTGGTGATAGGATAAAGTATCTCCAAGAAGTGGGGTCTCGAAGTCAGCCAAGGGCCAAGCACACAAGTCGAGCTCTCAAGTGATGAATGTCGAATGTAATGCAGAACTTTGAGAAATTGGGTATGTTGTGAAGTTGAATTTCCAACGAGAAATGTAATCAATTGAAGGTGGTAGATCTGAATTTCTGGAGATCTAGACCGTGAATGTTTGATGAAGAAAAAGAGAGTGTCCTCGAGGGGGAATTTGAATCAGGTATTGTCTCTTTGGTAGGATCAAATGATTTGAATTGTATCATCCACTGATGGGTGAATTTGAGATGAGCCTGACTGGGAGTACCGGACCCTATGGATTTTTGTTTGATATTAGATATTATGATTGTCGTGTGATAGTAGATGTAAAAGATTAAAAATGCCAAGCTGGTCAAAGACAGTGAAGCCGTCAACTGTGCTTGTTACGATTTGAATATGTACGAGAGTGTAGAAGAAGAAAATGAGACGAAAGTCGTGAATGCCAATTATGAGATCCGTATGGCAGCTTGAAGATAAGAAAAAGAGATGTCCCCTCCAAAGAAGTTGAATATGATCCAATCTTATGAAACACAAAAAGGAAAGCCCGGAATTATGAAGATATTCGGGATGTGGTGAGATAAGGAAGAGGGAGATGATGTAGATGTAGAGAGAGGTAGGGGAGGGGAGGAGAGAGTTTAAAAAGGAAGTATGAAGTATGGCACGAGTGAAAGTAGGAAAGAAGAGGTTGCATTGCTTGGCCTTGGCTTGCTTGATTCGCTCTCTTGATTTGCTGCTTGATTGCTTGCTCTTGAGTCTTGACTACTCCAAGTGCCAGTAGGGATCTAGGAAATCTAGAAATCTGCTAGGAACTGCTGCGAGACCAGAATCCAAAGGTTGCATCAAAAAATAAATCAATGTGGAGGGAGCTTTCGTCGCTCTTGCTACTCTTGCTACTCTTGCTGCTCTTGCTACTTTTGCTACTCTTATAACTAGCGTCTGTTCCTGGTGGGAAACTGTAGGCTAAAGCCCAATTAGGTTAAGCTCGTTTATGGATTTGGCGATCATTAATCTCTGCTGCTCCGATTAGTTCCAGCATTTAACTGATTCAAGACCCTTTCATGTACTTTTCTCCCCTTTGCTCTCTTTCGGTCGCTTTTTAATATTCCTTTTAATCAGGGGTCAAAGATCTACTTACTCAAGAGACTCACATACGGCGAGGCTAAGGATATACTTTATTGTGAGTGGTTACCAACCGCATCGGTGGCCTTCAAAACTGCATTGACAGTCTAAGGCCTCGGCGGAATCAATCCACTTCAACCCACCGAGCCACCCAGATATCATCCCATGTTATTGATATACAGACCTAAGTATGTATGATATCGTCATCATCAGCAATTACTCCTCTTCAAATGAGGGGAAAAGAGAACTAACTGGCTCACAATGACTCTTGGATGTTACGGCTGGAGAAAGAATGATGTGGATGAATCGAATTAGTGGGATAGGAGGTCGATGCGATAAGAATTCACATTCTACACAAAGTTTTGATTGTTGATATTCTTAACTTCTAGATTACCGTTTACCAAAGTACATGCCAACCTCCCTACCTACTACCTACCTACCTACCTACCTAGGCATTGGCGCCTTTTGCGTTTACGTATTGCTAAATACAGTCAAAAACACATCTACCACCACCAGGTATCTAGGTTAGTCATTTCAATGCAACTCTATAGCCATTTTTGGATGCTAATACAGAAAAGTCAATTCCATTAAGCCAATCATAATTTCCTGAATAATGGGATTTTTCTAAATTACGACGACTTCACTGTCTGTGCTGAACGCCACATTAAGTATCTGAGAGAAGACCCATCGGAAACTTGAGGTGCCACTCGAGATTCGAGACTGTTCTAACTTTTTAATTGGTGATATACCTTTTTCAATTAACGAACCGTCTGAACTCTGAAACATAGACTCTGATCTCTCACGAGTCACTACGAGACTACTTCAATTGTAATCATGACCCTCTCTCGAGCCTCTACGGGCCTTACCGTGAGCGAAAAAGACGTTCCTTTCTTGGCCGCCCAATTGTCTTGACTCCTTGTCATATCAATATTTCTTTTTCGTATGTTGGCAGAAACCAGCCGAATTAGATGTCGCTACTGCAAAAAGCCATGTTCGTGTTGCACCCGTGGCGCAAACCAGTCCGTTCGGATCTTGGGGGCGCTGTGAATCCCCCAGAAATGTTTCAATGCAGGGGCCCCTATTTTGGATTATTTTGATGAATATGTCAACGGTCTCAATTGTTGGGAAATTCTCGACGTCTTCCAATATGGGTACCTTGGTGTTAAGTTGTTTCTAACAAAACAACAATCACAAATAGTCAATCACCTTTCCATCCTTTTCCTCGACTGGAAGGTCTGACATTTAACCGAACATTGAGAAATCTCCGTACGGGCTTGATTTGGGTGGACAAACGGCTGGTAAAGAGGCACATTGTATTAAGATGTCTTACACTGAATTCTTGAAACGTTATGTCTTGATGGAATGAGGCGGCATGTTTTGCCCATATTCCAGATACCATTCATGCGCAGATTGACTTATTCGTTGACCTTTAGCATCATCCGAGGACTCTTTGAAATCTTCCAAGGTCTGTAAAAATGCGAATCTACACTTGTCTGTTATGTTTCCGGATGCCACCAAAGTCCTAAGAAATACCCATAAAGATTCCTCTTTCCATTTCAATGAAATTGCCATTCCAAGAACTTCTTCACATATCAAGGATTTTCGGTCAATCGGAGACGTCGCCGTTAAAAATGTAGGAGAAGATAGACAGGATAAGAGGAAAGACCACCCTGAGGTATCTCCTGGATGCCCCAAGCACCACTTCTTTACATTATATATTATTGTAAGGTAGGTAGTTTCATCACCTTCCACCGATTCCATCAACCACCTCATGTGAGACCATGCGTAGTAATTCCGAGGATGCCTCTCAGCTGCCACCATAACAACTGATGTAAGGTCCCGAGATACATCAAGAGGTAAATCCTTGGATTGACGAAATTCAAGAAGCCATCTCCTGTGGCTCCAAAGCGTCGGTGACTTTGTATGACGATTGAGGTGGGACGTTAAAAGACTATCAACGAATCGCAACTCGCTCTTTACTTCAAATCCCAGCTCAAATACAGTCTTCTTTCGAATACTTTGTACAAGTCTTTTTCGAGCGTTGCACGCGGTTAAATGTTCCGGGTCTGTGAGAAGAATGATCGAAGTAGCATCCCGGATTTCCTTTGAATATTCGGGGCCCAGATCTTTGAAGTTGAAGAACAGTTTCCGTGCAACAACAAATGCTTGGATAAGTTTGATTTTAGGTATACCAACACTGTTCTCGAGGACTACCGTATTGACATCCTCCGGTAACTGGCCTTTCCCAAGAAGCTCAAAGTCTATCAACTCGTGTCTGAGAGAATGATAACGAGGATCAAGTACTTTCACGATATCGTCGTAGACTTTTCGAGAATCGCTAGCATTCATAGATGCAATAGCATCTTTATCAAGTGCTCGTGACATGATGTCGAACTCTGAGGTGGCTGTACAATGCGTAAAATCATTCAAATGATACTCATCTTGCTAACGCGATCTATTAGTTGAATGGACTTGGGGATTATAACATCCGAAAGAAATGCCTTTTTCGCTGTCGTTGAGAAGATACTGTGGTAGTTCCAGAGATAGTTTCCATTCTCGTGATGACCTCAACATGGTCCGAGCTTCTGAAGCTTCCGTACAAATTACAAAGAGTCGAGTATAACAGCCCACCATCAAACGGACACGACACAGTTTCGACAACTACAATTTCAGGAAGTTTTCAAAGAAAGGAGCAGTCGGTTTCGACTACATAACTTTGGAAACATGCCGTCTCTCCTCTTTACATGTTTCCTTGTCCAGTTACTCATCCACCTCGTCAATACTTTTGGTGCAGATGCGATCAATAATATAGTAAGCTCTCCAATTCTCAATACCTATCCTTACAAAGTCCCTTTACCATTCAATCTTCCTCTCACAAAATCATCTAACCAATCCTAGCTATGGAATCTCTACAATATGTTCCCAACACCAACATCGCAGTCCGCGGGCGAGCAAAAGAAATTGAAGCGAGAATTCATGAAAGTTCGTCATGAAATGAATGCTACGAGCAGTCAAGACGAATTTGCCAAATGGGCGAAATTGCGCAGACAGCACGACAAGTTATTTGATCAGTTGGAGAAATCAAGTACGTCCCTACATACCCAAACCTACAGAATTCAATACGTGGCTCAAATCTAACATCTCGCCCACAGAATCCTCCCTCGATTCCACCAAATCTACCTTCGATTCCTCAATTTCTACGCTCCGCTGGTTGGGCACGAATGGTCTACGAATGTTGTTACAATTCTGGTTCTCAAAGCGAGCTATGTTTTGGTTGCCCAAAGGATGGTTCCCTTATTACGCGGAGTGGTTGTTGAGTTTCCCTAGAGCGCCACTGGGAAGTATCAGTATACAAGCATGGACACTTGCATGCGCAGCTGTGATTTTGTTGGTTAGTGATGCCTTGGTTGCAGTGGTCGCGTTAGTTTTGGGAACACAAACTGGTGCAAAGGCGAACAAAATGGAGGAGCCTATGAAGGCTGGCGGACAAGGTGCAGAGAAGCCTGGCAAGAAAGAGTTGTGAGGTTTACAATTCTTGATACGTATATATCTTTACGAACGCGATGTTGTACGAATATTTCTACATTTTTACGAAACACGAGAATATGGTAGAAAGAATGTCTCTCAACAATTAAGACGCAAAGATCCTCATAGCTAACGCTGAGATCATGCAACACGAGTGAGATGACTCTTGGCAGAGTACTTGGGGCTTAATCTGGGCATACTTTTTGACTGTGAGAGACCATTGAGAAATAGGTCGCCAAAGCTTCGAAAGTGCCACTACATGTGTGTCAATTTATACTATACCTAATCGTTCCCACGAAGAGACATTGCAGTTCGAGAATAATAAGCGCATATGAGAGAACAGAGTCATGTTCTCATGCGCAAGTGCGTTGCTCATATTTCAGACAACTTGTGCTTAAGTTTGGCTGATTTGTAGTTGTTAAGATTCCAAGAATGAAAATTTCAAGAATTTTATTTATGCGGAATTATTTCGAGACCCCACACTAATGGAGACGCTAAAGAAGCACTAACTACATGCAGCCACCGCCTTTATCATTGTTCCATGGCAGAATGCCTTTGATTGTCTTATCGCGAACGTGTTCTGAAGAAATAAGGAATCGATTCAAACCACCAAATCTATGATACTTTTGACAAGTTGAGCTTCGCACATATATCATGGTAGGAATATCGTTTGGGACGTACGTACTCTTCTCGCTTCTTGTCTCCCAGTTATACTCTTTTGGACCTACAATTCGCAGGCTCCCAGATCCACAAACTAACTCATCCACAGTATCAAGTCCATTGTAATATTCTTCGGGCCACTGATTCTACCCAAAGCAATCGGTTACTATCGATCGCAACGCGCAGCTCCTCAAGCCCATGGTCTCACAGTTCAACCTGTTCCTCCAAATGTATCTCGCGCTCTCACGATCCTCTTCATAACCTCTCTCGCTTTCCTCGTCAAAACCTTCCCTACTTTCACCACTCCCTCGCTCTTCACACTCACCCAGTCTCGTCTACAAATTCCAACCGATGTCCTCTTTACCCGTCTTCATACCCTACGTCCCACTGGTCTAACTCCCACCGACGAAATCCTCAAAAATGCATTTACGAGCAAAGAGTCACGTCTCTTGTATCTGAAATACGGTCCAGATACCATGATAAACTGTCTCTTCTGCAACCCCGAGGATCCTCCATCCTACTTACTCTATTCCCTCGTGAGCATCGTCATACCACATCTTTTCAATCTCTGCGTTCTGGCTCTCGCAACCAGTACTCTCTTTATTGGAAAAGAAGCAAATATGTGGCGCGGAAAAGCTACCACTCTAGCTGGCGCAATTGCGGTCCTCGATATCTATTTCGTCACACAATACAAACATACGAATAATGCCACTGCGCTGAGACTTGAGGAGATCGATCACTTTTATTGGAACATGCAACTTTACCGCAATATAGCATTGGCAGCATTAGATGGGCTCGTCGGTTGGCTTCTTTACCTATCTTCTACAAACCGAGCATTCCTCACTCCCCCTACAACGGCGGAGAAAATAGAAGCTACGACTAGAATTATAGACCAGGCGAGAGGAAAATTAAACGGGGTAGCATTAATGCGTAACACGACGGTGAGGGATAAAGATTTGAGAGGAAAAGTAAACGAATACTGGGTGAGAGAAGCAAATGTTATGTCAGAGGTATTAGAGACCAGGGAGGTAGTCGATGGTGTTCGAAATGCATTGGAGGGTAGAGTTGATCTGGTTGCGGTACAGAGGGATGCAGATGCCTTTGCGGAGGCTGTTCTTGGGGGTGTAGGGAAGGTGGTTATGTAATTTTCTAGTGTTTTGCATACATCGATTTATCCTCAATATTTGTGTATTATGGAATTTTATCATTACTTGTCGGTTTCGTAGAAAATTTATTCAGTGCAGAGAAGCTAACATAGATGAAATGAGCATACGTTATGACAAGCCTACAAAAGCTCGTCTATTTTCAGACTCCACCAACTGTCCCCTTTTTGTAATCCCAACCCCTTGATGAAAGGAATTATCATCGCACTACAAATTACACATCACTAAAACAAGACATAAACCTCAGAAACGAGCGACATAATCAAGAAACCCAATATTAAAATTTCTCCTGAACACAAGATATTTTGGTGCTAACAAGCCCACCAAGACCCTATATGATATGCTACTTGCCAAAACGAAATGGGATAAAGATTCCACGAGCAACGCCATGAAAAAAGATCCTCGTAGCACAATAAACAGACGGCGTGAAAACCATAACAACACCCAGTATCACACCCAGTGAAACGCCCTCGCAATGTAGCTAATATACACCTCAATCTATTTGACAAATGACGAAGCCCCTTCCTTCCCAATATCCTATTTTGTTGCGAGAGTAGCTGAGCTACTGACGCTTTCACTTCTACCATCTTTGACACTTCCTTCCTCGGCGCTCTTTTCTAGAAATCCTGTCCAGAGTTCTGATAGAGATTCCTTTTGAGAGTTCGAGGGCTCGGTAAAGAATTCTGTGGATAAGGATGGTGTGCTTGGTGTTCGGTGAAAGGGTGACATCGGTAAGCGTAAACTATTACTCGAAGCACCTGGCCTTGCTAAACCGGCTTGCTCTTTTTGTTCATCTGTCCAGTTCAACAATGAAGCAATGACTTGTAGTACTTGAAATTTCTTCGGATCCGAACGATCCAATGAGAGGAAATGTAAAAAGTGGTTTGTGACAACTTGTCTATATTTTGTTAGTTCCAAATTCCAATTCGTAGTATGGGGTTGTAACATACCTATCAACATTGTCCTCTACTTTCGACTTTTTAATAAATCTCAATGCTTTTGTGAGGTGATCATTAATCACAATTGCTTCATGACGAAGTTTGCCAATCAACAAGTTCTTTTCCTTGACTTCCTTTTCGAATGGTAGAAGTCGATTCAATTCTGTTTGTAGAGCTTCTTTCGAAGTTTCAGCCTCCACGCATCTAGAATCCGACTCCTGAACGACCTTTTTCAAGGATTGAAGTTGCTCATCATAACTTTCGACCATCTCCCGAAGTTCTCGTCTTCGAGTCTCTTGAATTTCCTGTAAAGCTCGTTGTAATCCATCGACCGCTTGAGAATGGCTATCACGTTCGGCGACCGTGGTTTCGTATGCTTCTTTTTGAGCAGAGAATTGTTCCTCCATATCAGAAACTCTACTCTCCAGGTTCTCTCGTATAGATCTCTCTTCCATAGCCAAAACTTCCCAATCTCCCATGGCTTCTTTTGCAGCATCGGCTTCCTCTTTGAGATGTTTAGCTTGTTGGAGCAAATCTTCCCTTTCATGGACCCAATTCTGTTGTGATAAATTATTACGATTCCGTATGGTCGAAAGTTCTTTGGACAATTCGTTCAGTTCATTCCGTAATTTGGATACCTCGTCCTCCAATCCTTGGATAGTACTTTGAAATGATTCCACTTGTGATTCTAAGTCTTCGATTTTCTCATTGGCCTCCGCCAATTCCTCTTTATCTGCCTTCAATCGTTCCCCCAGGGTAGTTTTGATCGTATTAACGCGTGTGAGTAAAGTATGATATTGAGATTCCCAGTTCTCTCTTGAAGATTCAGTCTCCTCCAATTCTGCTCGGACTGTAGAAATTTCCTCCTCATGTTGGCTCTTGAGTGCGGTGATCTCATTTTTGTATTTTTCTTCGACAGATGACAGATTCTCGGAGTATTGGCCTTTGGCTGTTGAATCTTCTTCCGTGTGCTTGCCCTGTATATCCTCGAGGGATTTTCGTAGTTGTTCAACTTCAGCGCGCAGTGCCTGACGTTCCGCCGTCATTGCTTCCAGTCGAGCACTCGAGTCCAATTCATCTGACCCATTACTTTCCGAGGTCCCTTCTTCTTTCCCGGCGCTAGATTGTGTTGGCGCAATGGTATGGCCATTACCCTCGGAGTCAATTTTGCGCCCGTTCGTTTGAGAATCTATGCTTGATGGAAATTGGGCATCCTTTGGAGTATTCTGTCGAGATTTGTCAGAATGCGCTTATGTTTGCTATATAGTGAGTTGTGAACAGGTGTCACTCGTACCACAGTTGACTGCCCGGATTCCTCTGGATTCCCATCTTCTTCTGCTGCTACGTTTACTGCGAGATCGTCCACTTGATCTTGAATTTGAGGTATTTCTCCGTTTGATTTCGATTTGGCATTCTTCTTCTTCTTATTGCTCTTCTTCTTCGCTATTATTTTGTCAGTGTTTGTTCTTATAGCGTGAGCTTCCCCACCATAACGGCGATGTACAAGGGCAAACGAACCTGGAGAAGTAACATTAGAAGAATCCGTAGGAGCTGTGGCTGACATGATCTGATAATGAGAACGGATTTGATAATAAACAAGAAATCTTTCTCTTTTGGACAAATCGCAATTCAATTATTGTCGAGGCTGTGAACCTTTGAACATTGCTAGGTAGTGTTCTCCAATTATGGCACAGTATATGTTCAGCCCGAAGTCTTAGAGCTGCGTAATGGTACGCTTTAGGGTCAAAGAAGTTACCGTATTCGTATATGTTTCCATCGGGTTTATGTTAACCCTGTATTTGTATTGACGAATGGTCGGACCCATCTGCATCAATTCACCACGTTCATCTACTATTATTCACGTGTATATGTTGGATGAAAGCCAATGTACTAATATGATATTGCAAGAAGGTATTTGTCTAGACAAAAGCAAGTGTCACATTGAAACCTAGGTACATATGTCAAGAACAAGGGCACAAGCCAAAATACCATTCATCCGAGTCTATTAGTCTCTAGGCCCACGGAATGATTTGAGATACTTGCATATAGGACAACTACTACAAACCTAAATCATGGATCTCATACTCCTGATAGATCCTCGAATGCGGGGATGGGAGAGCTATATTCTATAGTCATAGAATTATTCGCCAGTCACCAATCATCTTCTTTGATTTGATGTTTATCTCACTGACTAATGTTAGTCTGAAAACGACTATCCAAATTGATGCAAGACGAATATGGTCTTGAAAGGAATGGGCTATTCAATTAATATCTACCCCGCCCATTCTGCCATTCAAGCGAATGGCTACTTGTATATAAAGCTCATTAAAGTATCCTGAAAAGATCTCTGAAACTTCAAGCTTATATCAACATCTCTTCTTATCCATAACCCTAATAGTCAATCTTCAACTTCACCTTCTTACATCATGGGCTCCATTGAATCAGAGGGGCTAAAATCCCGCAATTATATCAAATGGGATGCTTCAGGGGTTGAAGTCATTCCTCCCAATGAACAGGAAGACATACAAGCTATTGCGGACCAGATCAATGCCATACAAAAAGCTCAATTTAATGCTCATCGCCATTGCTTTGGAGGTAATACTTCTCAGCCCTTGAGTCGAAACAGAAATGCTAAAATCGTCAAAAGGAACACATGCAAGAACTCAAGGACTGGTCAAGGGTGAACTAGTTGTTAGGGATTTACCTCCACATCTTGCGCAAAGCATGTTCTCTCGTCCAAAGACATATCCAATTGCCATGCGATATAGTACCGAACCTGGTGATCCAGCTCTCGACGATCGTATTCCGCAACCTCGAGGTCTAGGAATGAAGGTTTTCAATGTTGATGGTGAAAGATTTGACGGGAAAGAGTTGAGCACACAGGATATCGAATTCAATAGTACTCCTGCATTGGACCTTGCAGATGCAAAGACGACAAAAGAAATTATTGATCTTAGAATTAAGTACGGAGGAGATAAGAATGAGTTGTACAAGCATCTAGAAGCTCGCAAAGATACGGCATTACAAAAAGCTCGTGATGAAGTCAGGAACACCCATCTCGAGGTATATATTTACACCATCTAGCCACCCTACACAACTCAACTACTGACATAAATCTAGTCAACACGACAGTATTCGCAAACTGCTTATAGATTTGGTGACTATGTTGTTAAATACTGCCTAGTTCCATCTTCAGAAACGCAAAAGAAGCTTTATGAAGAGACGGTCAAACCAGATGCCCATCCAGATAATATTCTTAGTGAATGGCTCAAAGAATTTCACACAAACCATGACGCAGAATATCTCTTTCAAGTCCAACTCCTTGAGAATCTCGAAGACCAACCTGTGGAATATGCTGGCAAGATCTGGGATCCCGAAAATTATCCATGGCAAACAGTTGCCACCCTCAAGATCCCTAAGCAAGATAGTTTTATAGCCGCGAGAAAGACGTTCTGGGAAGATCACATGAGATTAGATCCATGGCATGGGCTCAAGAGCTTTCAACCTCTTGGATCACCAAACAGATTGAGGAAAGTTGTCTATCCTGCTAGTAGTTCTCTCCGTCGTAAGATGAATGGAAGACAGGAATTGGATGTTAATAGTATCGATTCAATTCCAGATGGAGGTTGGGTTATTGGGGCATTGTGAGCGTTGAAAGAATGGTACATGAATTATGATTTGGAATACGGATATTACTAATGATGAATACAACATAAGCTATTGTTGTCAAATAACCTCTCACAATCTGTGACTTTAGCTTTCTTTCGTCTAATCTAATCTATGAGTCCATCCAATTGCCCCTTTGAATCCTCGTCGCTTCCATCCCAGAATCTCACCCTTAATTCTCAGGCATCAATGACTAAGTTACCTAATCACGATCAAAACGCACAGACCTCTAATCTACCATAAAATCCTTCACCTCATCTCAACTTCTTTTCTTTTCTCTTTACATATAACCACAGCATCCGTTGTCAGCCCTACCTGGGCCTATCTAAATTTACTTGGATTTGTTCGGGTAGGATTGTAGTAGGGACTTTTTTTCACAAGACCCAAGTACTGAAATGGATAGCTCAGAGAAAAGAACGCTTCAAAATCCTGATTATTGTCTATGCGCGATGGACTTTTCAGGTTCGCTTTGTGTCTACATTCTGTGAAGAGGAAGGATGAACTGTTAGGGCGGTGATTGGAGTTGGAGAGGCGACTGCGGGAGGAGATTGGATGGAAGAGGAGGGAGTTCTAGAGGTAGCGTAGGTAGCAGCAATGAATCCAAGTTATTTTACAGCAATTCAATTTTGTCATGTCCATGATATACATCCATAACGCGCCCATCAAGCATTCAGAGAGAACTTGAATGGTAAATTACGTCAAGCCCAATTAGTTCGCCATTTGATATCTCATTGTTAATGCCAAATCCGGAGCCAGCTGGTCCAAAGGTAACGCCTGAGTTTCACACATCCTCAAAATAGCATCCTTATCCAGCATCCCAATATAAATACGTCGAGCAATAATCATCCTGTAAACCCAGCCATCTTCCCATTGAAACCTCAAGAATAAGCTAGACTAGTGTCCTTGTTATTTCCTAACCCATCTCAATCCCACACTCTCCGGGTCAAGCATTTCATGCAACATATGTCTCTCATGATCAACCACCAGACTACTGTTCCATGCCCTCTCTCTTGCCTGCTCATCAGTCTCTCCATCCCTCGGGACAACCTCGACTCTCCAGTCTTTGAACAATGCAGCTAATACAGCAACAAGTTCTACCTGCGCAAATTTCTTACCAGGACACACTCGTTGACCCCATGCAAAAGGCATGAAATGATTTGAGGTATCCCCTTCAACCTTTTCCTTGTCAAAATCTTGCGTGCTATGTTTTTCAGTGGAAGTGGAGGTAGACGACATGCTGATAAACCGGCTGGGGTTCCAGGCAAGAGGATCGGAACCCCAGTATTTTGGATGCGCATGAAGAGCGGGTATAGAACAGTGGACAGTAGTATGCGGCGGGAGGACGTATTTTTGACCATTAACTTCGAGAGTTTGTTCGTGTGGACCAGTAGTTTTTACAAGTTGAGATATGGGGTGACAAATACGGAGGGTTTCGAACTGCTGTTTGTGAGTATACTTTATTCTTCAGGAAGCCAGAAGTTAAGGGGACTTACAATAACAGCTCTACAGCGCTTTAACTGAAAGTATATTTCATATTTCCAGGACTCCATATTCACATCTGTGGGTAGATAATAGTTTATCTCCTCAGAAATCCAATCTTGGGTATCGGGATTTGCAGCAAGATGAATAAGTAAGCTGGTGAGCGCAATAGCTGTTGTATCATTACCAGCAAAAGCATAGACGAAAAGATTACTTAAGATCTCCTTTTTCGTAAGTGTCATCTTTCTTCCTTTGTCCCAAGTTTTGTCCGTGATCGTATCATCTGCATCCAGTTCTTCACCCTCCTCGCGAGCTTTCACTAGACGCGCTACTAGGTGCTTGTTCACAGTTTCTCCACGTGCAAGATGCTCTTTCTCTTTATCCATCAAACTAAAAATATAGGAGCGGAAGTCATCCATCGCTCTGGCTACATTTTTGGATGAATGAGGTGTCCACCAGGCTTTTAGACCTTCTTCTCCGAAAATGAAAATTTGGATGATGGATGATAGAATCGTGGATAGAGATTCTCGATACTGATATGACTTATTATTCTTATGAGAATCTAGCTTCTCAACCTCATGACCTTCAAATGGGTACACTTCGTTAAACATTGCAGCTGCAAGAACATTGAGCGTAAAGTTCTTGGTATCCAAATGTGTCGATCGAACCGGTTGTTTCGCCTGTTCAGTCCAGTACTCCAACATTCCTTTCGCCTGAGCTAATGACTGTTCCCAAACTAGTTCATTATTCTTTTCCGTAAAAGTCACCGTCGTCATCTTCCGATGAGCTTGCCACTCTGCATCATCCGCCGTCGACAAATTCCGTCCATAAACATCCAAAACAGCCATCTCCTCCATATTCCTCCTGAACTCCGATTTCCTCGTCAGAACCTCGTAGATGATTTTAGCATCCGCAACACAGAGTTGTATACCCGCCGGATGAACAACCAGAAATGCATCGCCGTAATCAACAAAGATTTGGGCTCGCTCATTGGCTTCCCAGCCGTGAGAATAGATGCGCGTGAAGTTCTCGGATGCAATTCCAAGTCGTTGACAGAGTCGCACAATGGAACTACCATAGAGAAGCCAGATGGGGTCCATGGGCGATATATAGCGAATGAAGTAGGGCAGACCTATTGCGCGGGCTTTGGCACGGTTGGTGGCTAAGGTTTGAGCCGACCAAATAATGAATCCGAGTGGGAGAGCGAGAAACGTAACAACTATGATAAGCAGCAACATGGTGTAGCTACTTGAGATTCCTAGAGACAGAAACGGATGAAACGCCATTTCCATTTGATAGAAGAATTTTGATGAAGACAGTCGAAGAAGCAAAGGTTTATAAGCTTGTCGAAGCGAAGTGACTCGGCAAACAAACCCCCCTCTACCACTAAGACACAGCGCCAAGCATAATTCCTTTGAACAGTATCCGGTCCATTCTGTCATCACAGTGAATTCCTAAAGCGAATGAAAGTTGAGGAATTGGAAATAATCACATGAATTTGAGGTTCTCATGCCTGCTGTCATTGGCCCACTTTCTGCGGTACAGTCACTGTGTGGAGCCGATACAAACAACAGTGGGAGAAAGTACGTACATATGATATCCATTTTTGCTTGTACCATCTTGGCAGATCTGATCAGTAGCGAGGCTCTTTTCTCATCTTGATGAACATAGCTTGACAAACATCAAATGGTATGAACTGGATATTGTCAAATGATATTGTGAGAACATCAACTTTTGGCTTTGAGGGTTGAAGGAACCTGAAATTTTCGCAGACGTGTGCCATTGAGTATCTGTTTTGATTTCCTCTTATTTAGGGACATGATAGTATCCTACTATAGTCTCTTACCCCTTTGTCCTCCATTGCTGTTCTCTAGCCATTTCCACTCTTATTCCTCTCAAAACACCCAGCTAATCTGTTCTTCGCTAATCGTCATATAAACATCACTAGTGTGGTATACTTTGATGTCGAGCTGTCCAAGGAATGACCACTCGTCGAGACAGACCCTTCACTTAGGAAGTGGAAGATTGGTTGTAGTAAAGATATAGTATTGATTTCAGGCCACAATGACTACGTGCCGTTAGTTGGGACATCAAAATTGCAGTGAAACGTTGGAGAATTTGACTGTGTCGCAAAGCATCTTCTCGGGACGAGAATCCCGAGTTTGCTACTACATATTAGGTGAGTGAGCCGAATTTGTTGAGCTACGCATGATGACCAACAGTTGGAGAGTTCGAGGGAGTAATCATACCATCTTCCTTGCAGACTGCAACTATTATTTTCTTTGTGTTACATCAATTTCTTCTTCGAATAGGGGCAATTGCCCGTTTGTGCATATGATGAATTTCTTTGGCCATTTTCAAATCACAAGTTTTATAATCTTCTTCCTCCAAAAATAAATTTCATGCCCAGAAATCGTTTTCTCGAAGCAGCCAAAATCTCACAATGGATGAGGAAAAAGACAAGCGCTCTAGAACTCTGGTCGAAAAAGAAATATTTCCAGAGAACGGCCAACCTAAAGAATTACTTGAGGATGTCGAAGATTCCTCGGATCGATATCTCACTGGGTGGAGGCTTACGCTCGTAACAATATCTCTAGCCCTAGGAATGTTCCTCACGGGCGTCGACAGTAGTGTCATTGGCGTAGCAACTCCTGGAATCACAACTTCATTCCACACGATCGATGACCTTGCCTGGTATGGTTCTGGCTATATGCTTCCACATACTGCTCTTCAACCTATCATAGGTGCTTTCTACAAATCTTTCAATGTCAGATATGTCTTCTTGATATCGATTATTATTTTTGAGGTTGGGTCTTGTCTGTGTGCTGCTGCACCTACTTCTGCAGCTTTTATCATCGGTAGGGTTATAGCTGGATGTGGTGCTGCTGGATTGCTTCAGGGAACACTAGCAATAGTTCGACTATCTGTTCCTAAGAGAAAGATCCCTCTATATTATGGGCACGTCCTTAGCGTACAGGGAGTCAGTGCCTGCACTGCTCCTATCTTTGACGGGATATTTACAGATAAATTGACATGGCGATGGTGCTTTTGGATGTAAGCTTAATATTATCTGCTCCGTGAAATCTAATTTTTCCATATCCTGACTGTTATAGAAACTTACCTATAGGCGGTGTTGCATTGGCAATGGTGATGCTATTCGTGAAACCAAGATTACCAAAACAAGCCAACGACATCAGATCCTCTCCTTCAAAAATCACAGCGCATGGACTGGGCCGGAACCATCATTTTTCTCAGTGCCTTTGTATGTTTATATTTGGCTTTGCAATGGGGCGGACAAACAAAGCCATGGCGCTCATCAGAAGTCATCGGTCTCTTCATCGGCTTTGGTCTTTTACTGGGTCTTTTTGCATATACTCAAAAGTTCACGGGCGAAAATTCCCTCATTCCTCGAGGAATCTTGAAACAGCAAACTGTTTTATTTGGTACCATTTATCTGATTCTGTTTGGTCTCCAAATGGCTGTTGTGAGTAGCCCACCTTTCTTCTACTGGCGAAAAGAGTCTAAAACTACCAGTATTTACAATACATACCAATATATTTCCAAGCTGTACGTGGTACATCCGCATTGAATATTGGAGTTCGGATGATAGCTATGGACGCTGGCAGAATCGTTTTCATCATCATTTCGGGGATCCTCGTTACTAAATTTGGACATTATGTAAGTGATAGCAACATTGTGTTCGTTCGATATCCTAACTAAGTATACAGATGCCTTACATGGTCGTTGGAACTATTATCACTGTCATCGCCGCAGGTCTGTTGACAATGTTTGATCTTAATACCTCGACAGCTCACTCAACAGCTTTCATGTTTCTTACCGGAGCTGGGGCAGGCATAGGAGGCAATCAACCTTTTACTGCGTTACAAGCTGCATTGAAGTACGGGTCGTCCATATACCTATCTACGAGTACATTCTGACCATAAACAGAGAAGAAGACTTATCGATTGGAAATGGCTTAACCGTGTTTGGTTTGCAGTTGGGAACGTGAGGTAAAGAAATACCAACAATTCAGTATTGTACCACGCTAATAAAACTACCAATTTCTCTCAGATCCCTTGCATTCGCCATAAGTCAACCCGTCATCCTCACAAAGATCTTCAGTCGTCTAGCAAACAACCCTCTTACATCAAGTATACCACGCCCGTCAATCATCGCAGCCGGCGCCTCGCATCCAAACCGACTCGTCGACAATTCAGCCGCATTAGAAGTGTTGCGAAAAGCGTGTAATGAAGGTATCAGAGATACCATGATTGTCGCGCTTGTTGCAAGTTGTTTGTGTCTTTTTGTCTACCAGGAATGGAATGGTTGACATTAGAAAACACTGGTGCGAAAATTAACACGGATACAGAGAATCCTGAATCGGGAGTTCTGTCACTGGTGGAAAATAACAAAGATTCGTAGATCTTTTCCGTTGAGTCATTTTTCTTTGCTCTTCATGTTGGCAAAATCACTGACAGCTTCTTCGTGTTGCTGGTAAACCCAGGTTACGTAAGTAGCACTGCAATAGATAGAGTTATGAATGGCGGTAGGGTTGACATGCATTGACAGTTTCAAGTCCTTGCTGCTCTCTATTCTCAACGGAATTCTCGCTCTTGGAGAAATCGAAAGTAATTAATGTAAGTTCTTTTGGTAGCATTCTTTATCAGAGAGATTTCAAAATTCCTTATATATGAACGGAAATTGCAATCTGTTATTTTAAGTATATTCATTATATTTCTATAATAAGCATATTTCCACTTAGGTTTATATAGAATATATAAATAACCATCTACATCTCATTAGTAATCTTCATCTCTTCTCAATACACAATATCACCTAAAGGCCGTTGAAAAGACTGCAAAACCATCGTGTATGGCTCATATAAATCAGACCTCAACAATCAGATTTATTTATAATACTTCATCACCTTGCCTTGTTCGTCTCCTCGAAGTAGAGGTAATACTATTAATGAAGTTTATCACCTCCTATTCTCTTCTATTGACTTTCTAGACTCATGTCTAGACCTAGCTATCTGGAACAATATAAGAGGTACTATTATATAATGCAGTACTTCGCTACCTATACATTATTCTTCAAGTGATGTACTCCTATATCTGACTCCAGGTAAGACCATACTCTAATGTGCACAATTGCATGAAACTGGGTAAGCGGCATCATGTCGTCGTGTCAAATTTTTTCGGTCGTAAAATCAAGTAGTAGCTTGAAGTGAGCCGATTCAAGGCCAGAGTGATATCAATACAGTGTAGCACAGTATTCCACGCTCCACGTTGCATAGTTCGTCCACATCTACTTCTATCCACATAAGTCTCGAGCAGATTTTTAATCACAATCGTTAAACTATGCTTTACTTATGAGCACATATTTAGTGTTGTCTTTGATTTATCGTCGATTCCGAATGTTGACTTCAGGAACAACGAAGACTTGTTGCGTGCTGCATTGCATTCATCATGTTGACGTTCGGTAACTATAAACTTCCCTTCATCGAACCATAAAAGCTATAGAAAATAATGAATTATGAAACTTCCCAAACAAAAGCATTGCAACCCAAATCTTAAAGGCGTAACGACAATACAAATGCAATAGGAAATCTGAAGATCAAGATGAAAACAAAACCGCAAAATACCCCAAGAAACTTCATCACTGAACCACACACGTGCATGCAGTCTGTCATAATTCCAACTTGTCTTCATACAATAGAAATTGTATACCACGTAATCCCATCTTCATCTACATCAGTTGAAATATAGTCTTTTTCTGAAGGAAGGGCATCGCCAAGACCCAGCTCTTTGAATTGCTCATCTTGGGTAAGATTCATGGCTCGACGAATTAGTTTGTAATCATCAGCCCAATCGTATACAACGAAATAACCGACACGCTCATATTGCCCATTTTCTTGATTGGTCAATATTAGCAAGAGCACCTTAATTACCGAGTCTTTCGAGACGCCAATAGGTAACATTAAAATTGATTCAGAATAGCTCTCCAAACCACAATCTCTATGATCCCAACGGATATCGGAAGCGCTAATTGGGAATTTACCAAAGGATATTCCGCGATAGTTGTTAGGAGTGTTAGGACGTGACTCCATTTCAAAGATCATCATGAACCTTGAGCGGAGGGTCAGGACTCCGCTCTTAACACCTCCAAATGGATCGTCGGCATTTTCAAGAGTTATGTCGATTTTGGTGACGTCGGTATACGCTTCATGAAAAACTTTTGTATCCTCAGGAAAATAGACTGAATGGTTCACTGCAGCCCATGACCAGGAAGGGGCTCGCCCAGTGTTTTCTCTCGGATGTTGCCTATGCTCACCGTAGGTGAACCAGCACATCTGCTCTCTAATCCAAGATTGCCACAGTCCTGCAGAGTACTTATCACCATTTTTCTTTTGGTGTTGTCTTGCCACACCACCTATCGCAATTAAACGATCACTCTCGTTTGTTAACGAACAATCAGTGTACATTTCGACAATCTTGCTCCAGGACAGGAGCTCTTGTTTAGGTAGATATAAATAGTCGTTATGAAAAGCTTCCGGTAGTATATCGGGAAAGATTTCACAAGCCTGATTAGTTCTACATTCCCAAAAGAGTTGAGATTCAGTAAAATGTAAGGTCCGCGGGGCTAATATTCACTCCTGGAAAGCCCAAGCGCGTTTTGTCAAGGCCGCATTGGCGATATTGTTGGTATACAAAGCGCTATCTGCAATGCTGTAGACCTGTTTTTGACGGTCCATTTTCACTTCGACCTTATGTTTTTCCGTGTATCTCAAGTCGCGGTCAAACAAGCAACCAATGGTACCATCTGGGGCGGCTGTGGCAGCAATATTCAAGCTTGAAAGTCCATAAACGGTAGCCATTCGAGAAGCCTCTTTACTCCAATCCTCAGGATCGCCCTGTACTATACATAACGAGTCAATCCATAGCCATGAGAACCTAAGACTCTCGCAATATCAATTGCATCGCGGAAAGTTTTGCATAACTTATCATAAGGAATTTTTATCAAAAAATCTTGGAGGTTATCCTTTTGGAGCCGTAACACTTCAGTCTTTCCCCAGCAATGGCTTAGAGTTGCATATTCTGAGCAATTCTCGTTGGAAGACATACACAGACGTATTTCTTGAGAATCAATTTTGATCAGTCGTGTAGGTGAAACAAAAATGTCTTCTTGTTGCTTACAAGCACTGTGATTTAAGTGGCATTCTCGAATCCATGCCCGCACAATACCCGTAGATTCTTCAGTAGTACCTAATCGAAGCTCTTCACAGCTATTCTGACCATTTTTTCCATCAATATAGCAAGAATCCGAAGCATGGTCTAGTATGATTTTTGTCCGAGTAATTATTTCCCGTTGATCATCCTTGATTGTTCGGAAAGTGGATAATATAGTCCAATCGTATTCATTATCTGTAAAGAGCACTATATCTTCTCCAGGTTTAAGTTGATCAAGCGGCAAGTTGTCGCCGGCCTCATGAGCACTGAAATCGTAATTTCTCAATCCAAAGGATAATATACTCAGAAAAAGAGCACACAGATGACAGCCACCTGATGCGGATGCTCTTAAGTCAGACATCGTATCATAATGCGCAAAAAATTCGGGCACGAAACCTAACTTTCTCCAAATAAAACTCACAGACAGAGGACCAAGTATCAAAGAACACCCTACAGAATTTGCACAAGTCGGGATTCAAAACCTCGGTCGTGATCGTGTTCATTTCGTTCTCACTCTCCATGCTATCTTTGGCCCCTTCAAATTTTTTGATCGGCCATCGTACGACAACAGAGTCATTTCTTTTTAAAGCAATTCCTGAAGAATCTGAACGGCAATCTCCCGAGCTTTCTTCTTCTTCACTCTCTTCATGTTCCACTAAGGGAGCCTCATCATGATGTTTATCCACATCGAAATCGCTTTCGTTATAGAAATTGTAGTCATCCAAAACATCTGTTTCAGTATTTTCGTGTCCCTCGGTCCCACGAGATGCCTCTTCTCTCCCCTCATCAATATCACTTCTGATACTAAAATCCTGGCCAGGATTGTGGCCCGAATTCTTTGTCGAGGGGTCATCGTTTGAACCGTTATCAATCTTCGGATCTCCATTTGTATCGGCGTCGTCAACCTCCACAAGAACTTCATCATTTCCTCGCTCTTGAGCTTCATAAACACCACCCACTTCTACATCATCCGTCCCAGCAGCATCCGACGGCAATCTTCCCATTGCATCAGACTCCATCGCTCCCAGCTCCAACCCGAATCCTCTCAAATCCGCAATCCCACCATCTTCACCATCAACTCCTGATCTCTTTTCCGCCGAAGACATAATTCACAAAAGATATATTATGAACGCAACAAAGTAAGTAAGTAGGTAGGCTGAAAGGTGGGGTAACAGCGGTTCTCAAGATCCATCGATATCTCGCATGCATGCTTACGTACCTATCTAGTACCTACCTATTTAAGCAGTCACGTTACAATTCATGTGACCAGCCATATCTCCTCGTACTCGTGATTGCAATTCTGCAGGGCATCTCAATCCCTATGATATCTACCAGAGAACTGCAGCATGTGGAGTATAGAGATAACCAGCTCTTTCTTTCCTACTCGTAACCACAATCCCAAAGCCTCAATTTCTAAGAAACACACACTCAAGCTGCATACTCATGCAAAACCAACCAATCACACTCCAATCCCGATCTTCAGAGCTGAAATAAGAACCAGAGAATAGAGAATCCCACCTACCCAACCACCCACCCACCCACAAATACACATTCAACTCTTCATACCCTACCCTCCCAACCCAGCTCGCCATCCTAAATCCCTACAAGAGAATCGAGACACACTCAAAGCTCCATCGCATCACCCATCATCAACAACGATACCCCGATGCAGAGTCCACACCTACCTGATTTGAAGCCTCATCCATACACACCTAGTATCTACGTACGCATAGCACTTCCCCCTCAAACACTTCCAATTCCAACCAGAGCCCTCAACCCCCCAATCCCGAGTCCAAACATGCCATGCACAACATGCTCTTTGAACTTTGAAGATATCTCCAAAGACCCAAATACCCACCTACCTAATGCACAACACTACTCGGTAGTTTCCCCTTTGCACCAATTAAAAAATCCACACCATACGTGCAATTCAACAATCTCAATCCCAATCTCTCCGAATCTGTCTGTCTCTCCCCCCCCCTCCCTCCCTTGGGAAAACTCCACCCTCATCATCCTCAACTCTATTCATCTTCATAAGCACTTTCCCAATTCCCTAAACCCCCTCCCCCCATTCCACTCAACGTCTAGATTCTTTTTGTTTCTAGAATTCACAAAATGCATACGTGTAATCTTTCAATCAGCTTACTCCAACTACAATTTCCAGAGTATGTACTAACCATTTCCTCCTGCACGTTAACGGTCTATCGAGAAAAGGTTTCTCTCTCCTATTTTTTCCATCTAGATTTCCGTATTTTCATATTGATAAACCAATTGGTTACAGTTGCAATCACTTTGTACCTACATATACCACTTCCCTCTCTCAACAGATCGCATCTAGTCTCCACTCTCCAGTCCCCGTCTCCAATCCCCCATCTACAACCTCCAAGCTACAAAAGCACATATACACCTAGGTACCAGATCAGAATAATGTAGCACCATAAATAGGCAGTCATCATCAAACCCCCACCTCAGACTTTCTCAAGTCTCAGGCTGTGTCTCCCAAAGCCCCACCCTACCTACGCCTCATAGATCTTAAAAAGATGTATCAATGAAACACCTCAACCCCCAAAGTCGTCACGTCACTATTTACCAAGCAACCGGGTTTCGAGCACCCGCTTCCGTTTTCCGTCATGTGAAACATATACATACTTCTTTCTTATATCTTATCCGCAGGTTCCGATGGATCACATGCAGGGCGCCGATGTGGCTTTATGAGTTCGCCTCATTTATTTCTATTTCTCGGGCCCCTGGATTTGTGATTTGTGACTTGTGACTTGAGCCCGAGTTTAGAAGCAAAGATTTGAGGAAAAGGAAAGAGAGGAAGAAATCAATTGGCAGGATAGACAATATGTATATGATAGGGGTTTATGTCTGGGCATTGAAGCATATGATATTTATCCAGACGAACGAAAAGGATTCCAAGCCAAAAAGAACAGGATTAACCGTAACACAGCGGAAGCAAATATAGAAACAATGTCACACACAAAAAATCGATACTTGGAAACATCAATCATCATGTGACATTGTATCACCCTGATAACTCTGACAGAGCGTAACACGAAAAGCAAAAAAGGGATGAAAAAAGATCAAAGTACATGGTTGATATGCCGGTAGCCATTGACATCCCATCTTTGTGTTACGGAACACGACCTTTACACCGGTGGGTAGGTATTCCGCTCTTAGCCGACTAGCTGGATGGGATTTGGACATGTTTAAGGGATGAGATAGAATGTGAAAATAAATCGGGGCTGAATATACGGGGATGAAGCGGAACTTATCTTCATCATCGAGATCGATTCATCTGGAACTATTTGAAGAGAGAGAAGTTTGCGATCAAAGTGGAAAAGAAAGGAGCGGTGGAAGAGATCGAAGCAACAGAAGATCTAGAATCAGCCACGGGGGCTGATATCTGACCTGAATGTCCCTAGAAAATGCATGGAAGTGCATTTCCCCATCACATTTTGAAATTCCCATGTCGATATTAATGAGATTGATCGTAATAGGAAATCATGAGAGGATGGGATGGTCAAACTAGGGACTCCAATTGTGGGTGAAATGAAAACGAGCATTATCTGATGTCGTCAACCAAATTCCGAACAGTGCGAAAAGAAAAGGAAATTATTAGCATAAATTTTCACATTTTCGTATTTGGCACAAACCTACCCCCGGGGCCTACCCAGATTCCCATCCGATTTGTACAATACCTTTATGCAAGATTACCAGAATAAATGCAGCCAAAGTAACCCCTGAATGGGTAGAGTGACATTCGAGAGCTCTCGCCTGCCGCCATCCTACACCAGGGCGAGACCAGGGATACGATTCCCTGTATTTTGTGGAGGAAGGATTGGGATTTGAGTGGTACGCGAGATGTTTCGTTATGCAAGTGACCGTTTGTAGATATCTAGGTGTCTGCAATCGATCAATGAGTGTAAGCGCAGACTTTTGATGATTTGAAACGGATAATCTCATTGATTATTTGCGATTCTCATACCTCGAAATCCAATATTTCTTTCCATTTGTATCATCGTGAAATGGCGATGAAAGGGAATGGCAAGCCAGAGTATATGTCGTCCGTATCTGGAAAATACCCATTTAACGGTCATTTAACGGTCTTGCAGTGACAGATTTTCGGGTTTCCTTGGTGTTACTGCTACTGCTGCACCTAGAGCGAAATGTTCTAGGCGTTGAGACTAGTTGACTAAGGTAAGGCAAAGTCAGGTACGTACTCCCTACATTTCCATCCGTCTTTCGGGATCAGAGACTTGGTTTGAAGTAGTTTATGCCACGCAATACCGGACTGACTCATCTGGGATGCATTTCGCGTATGTATGTTACGCATTTGAAGGTTAATGGAGAAAAGTAGAAACGTTGGAAGATTGGAAGGCTGGAACACGAGAACGTTGAATTGAATGAATGTGGTATTAATTTGGGGGATTTTCATCGCCACCTCGGGTTCATGGTCTTTTTGTACTGATGTACTGATGTACTGTTGTACCGTTGTACTGCTGTACTAGAAGTCCTATAATTGACATGTGGCGGATGAATCTATTGAATGGATGAGTAGATGAATGGACGGACTGATGGATGGGATGGATGAATGGATGGATGGATGCGTGGATGGATGGATGGATGAGTAGGTAGGTAGTAGTGCTGAGTATATTGGGAGGAAGCAGCACTAGTACCTAGTACCCGTAGAATGAGATATTGATTCGTATGAACCATCATTTTGATTAGTTTGACTTGAATATTTTACATAAAGCAAGATAAATGGAAAACGCTATAAAGTATATAAAAGATAAATCGTGGCATGTCATTGGATGTGACGATATATATACCTATAGTATGAACATATAGTATGAATATATAGTCCGAAGAACCGTTTCTCACACCACCCCCCAAGATTTCGTGTGCCTGGTCTAGCAAAGTCACGAAAGTGTAAAAGAAAGTGTTCGCCGTTCACACCATTCATCATTTGGGGACAAGTGGGAGCACTGGTGGAGGAAGATCGACAAAACGCTATTTACTAGGTTGATAAACACTTTATCTTATTTGATCCCTTCTTTCCATCCTTCAGATCCTTAGGGGTTTGGAGATGAGGTTTTGATTGATGAGAGGAAAGGATTGATTGGATGTTGTTGTGAGTGAAGGAAAAGATATTGTAGAAATGAATATATTCAGAATATTCCGAATATACACAATATACAGAATATATACACACCATACCGACATAGGTACTTACTTGGGTATTATCATAGCAGATGGATCGACGACGTACCGAGGTAGACAATCCACCGTCTGGTACTTGGGCATCTGTATTCAATATCTATCATTTCAACACCTACGTCGTACTTACTCACTTCAATTCAAGTAAATTGGGATTGTCCACGATCTCTATCTTCATCATCATACCTGGATCAGAGATGATAGTAGAAGTATCATATTGCTTCATTTAAACTTTGGAAAATCCATTTGCTTTTTCTTTAGTCTCCCTGGAGAAGATCATTCGCTAGGCAATCTATTCCCTTGGTTCACGATAAGGAATATCATTTGGAGTGACACGGCGGCGCTTTTATTGGGATTTGCTTTGAATGTGCCAAAGGGACTAGGGAGGTCCCTACAGAGTTGGAGAATGAAGAGTTGGAGGAGAGGAGAGAGGAGAGTGGAGAGAGGAGAGAGGAGAGAGGAGAGAGGAGAGAGGAGAGAGGAGAGAGGAGAGAGGAGAGAGGAGAGAGGAGAGAGGAGAGAGGAGAGAGGAGAGAGGAGAGCAGGCAGAGCAAGCAGAAGAGAGAGGAAAGAAAAAGATGAATAAGAAAAGAAAAAAATGGGTAGAGAGAAGACAGAGGGCTAGAGGGGCTAGAGGGGCAAGAGTAAAGAGAGATAGACAGGAGAGAGGAAGAGAGGACAGAAAGACAGAGAGTATAGAAAGAGATGAAAGAGAGAATCCGATATTCGAGTGTGAATATTATTTACTAAAAAGGTTTACCCTACCACTTTACTCCAGGTACAATTATCATTTCACGCTTATGTCCCCTTTGTTATCCTAAGCTACCTACCTACCTTTGAACGCCCACTACCACCCACGCAATCAACCACATTCCCTTATTTT